ACTTCTGGCTAATGTAGATTGCTATACTTGCTGTATGTACATTCCATTGTTCATCTGACTGTAGTCAGACGTACGGAAGTCATCACAACTGCAGATATCTGTGACAACTTTTCTCAATTTTATTGCCTCTCTCACATTACGTCTCTCTGCTGCCAGAGTTGTAAAATATGGCAATTTAGGATATTAGCATGAGGTCAAATTAATTTGACTCTCCCTGTAGTTTCCGAAAGAATTAGCCACTACAATCATTAGTTGCACAAAAAATACTAGTGGTAAAAAGAAATAATAATTTCTGGTCGTGCTTTTTAAAAACTTAAAAATTATTTTTTTGGAAAGATGATTGGAAAACTGAAAGTTTTGCATCTATCAAGCTATATTTAGAAAAAATAATTTTAAAAGAAAACGCACATTTTTTTTAAAATAATCCCTTTGAAATTTCAAGTCTTCAAAAATTGCTTTAACAATCTCAAATTTTGGCTATAAAATATTGTTTGTACGTTAAGTAGAACACGTTTGCCTGTTTCTTTAAATAGAGTGCTATCAGAAGGATTGAAATAGTTCTACTCCCGCTGATAGTACTGTAGTGTTCAATATATCTCGCAATGCAGACTATTGACTAGAAAATCTGATAATTCAGTTTGAAGAAAGTCTCTTTTAAATAACTCCCTGTTATAACAATTCTCGATGATGATTTTATAGATCTTTGTGAGAAGGAACGGAAATCAACTGCATTACAATCCATAGAAATTACATGTTGTGTTAAGAGGAACTCAGATTTCAGATTATTTTTATCAGAAGATTTATTTACAATGAAGGCTCATACGAAAGGAGATCAAATACATGCATCCTTTTACATTGAATGCAAAAAACAGCCTAACGAAATTGGGCTAAACAACATGTTGATAGGACAAGGCATGAATGATAGTTTTACTTTTAGTAGATAAGTTTAGATTTAATTCAGAACATTATTGTCGTTGGTTTCTGATCTGGAGGAATCAAGGATCCAGTCACCATAAATCCAATATTATTGAAAAATGCACTTACAGCTGAGATGGAACCATAGGATGGATCAGAATCTCTTTTGAGACACTGTGACAGGACACTGTTTTCAACAAAAACACTGTAAATGGCCAAAGATATCTAGAAAAAAATTCTTGAACAATATACGAGACCTGTGCTACTACTATTGATGACAACTATATTCTGATGAACGATGATACTCGAACACATTATACTACGTTTGTTGATATGGGAGAAGGTGAATGAATTGACCATCTAGTTCGATTCATTTAAATCTGACGGAGCTCTTTTGGGCCTATCACCTCAGAGAAGATTCACAACAATATATCCTTCACCAAAGGCGTGAATAATCTGCAACCGGATTTTCTGTGTATTTCCTTTCATGTCAGTTTTTGTGTCCACCAACTTAATCTTATTTGTATCCATAGAAAACTGATGCCTATATTGCTTCACAATTGTAAATTGACAGCTTCCTTATTAAATTCCAATTTTTTAAAAAATTTTAATTATTGAACTTTTAATTTGTAACATCGAATGGTTTTTAAAAACATACTATTACTTATATATATAATATACAAATCATTAATTAAGATTAGTACCTGCAATATACGATACACTGCGGTGTATAGCGCGGACCTATAGTTTCAAACTGCATTTCTTTTGATTTTTATGCATGTTCTCCATTTTACATGCACCTTTTATTTGCGAAGGTGCCTGAAATGTATATGTGTGATGCTCTTGTCTTTTCAAGTCATTCATTTGAAAAAATTTGAGCTTTGCTGTACTGAATAGACAAGGGAAACATGTGTGTTTTGAGGAGGGAATGCTTGAGGGAATAGTAAATAATTCAGTAGAAACAGGATGAATTATATTAAATGCGCATGTATACAAGAATGTTATTCAATATTTTCAAGGAAACAGGAGCGTAATTTGGGGAAAGAATGCAATTCCGAATAAATTAGCATAATTAAGAACAATTTGAATAGGGTTTTAAATCCCGAAGCCATTTGTAAATCGTGTTTGTTTTAGTTAAAATACAATTAATATAATGTTACCTTTGGTAGCTATATGAGTCAACATGCTGCAACAAAGCTGCTTGGTGTGAGTGAAAGCCAAAGTGAGTGCACGAATGAAATTCAATTTAGACTATATTTAATTGGCCAAATAATAAATGTGCTATGCCTAAAGAAGTAACGAAATAGCCTATTCTAGAAGAAAATGTTATAAACTGGTTCAAGAAACCCGTGAAAATGGATAATTGTAACAAGAAACTGCATATATTATCTGTTTTAAAGTGGGCTAAAGAGAATACAAATGAAAGTACAAACTTTAAGATAACTTAAAGGTGGTGTAGTCGTTTTATGGAAGAAGTACTTAGTTCTACGAGATCAAAATAAAAGTTTATAGGATTATATCTCATAAATAAAAAATAATCAGATTAAAAATATTTTTGATGTGCTAATTTTTTCCTTATTTTTACATTTGTCATTTTTATATCCGGTAAATAAACGCACTTTCATATTTTTTCCACTTATTTATTTATTTATTTATTTTTTGTATTGAGAGAAAGTGCGCATTTTATTTGCTGGATTATACGGTACATAAGATAAATGTATAAATGTTGTTTAACTTAATATTCTAGAATTTAAATGCATCAATTCAAAATTTAAATCTAAAAAAACCCATTGTTGTTTAACCCTTTTTTCTGGGGAAGGGACACCCGTGAAATATTGAATTAACCATTGATTCATACTAATTATATCATGAGAAAAATTCTTACTTTTGAAGTCTATGAAATAGAATTCAACATAATCTTTTTACGCACCTTTAAATATGCACCTCCCATCTGGTATAGTGGTTAGTGACGCAGACTGATGCCGTAGGGCCTGCGTTCCAATCCTGGAGAAGGTGTGGATGTTATTAAATGTATAGTACCTTTGTGGCAATGGTGGTACACTAAATAGTCATCGAGCCGCAAGTCCTCTCTTGAGGTTAGTGGAGGGGGAAGAGAAGGTGGAGGCCCCTGATCACCCCCAGAGTGCTCTCCTTTAAAATTGGGATAGACCGAGCCAAAACATATTTCCATCTGTGTGGTGCTCAAAGCTACGGATAATGACAGGAGTACATCTAGCCCAATGCCACGATGAATTTTGTGGGCCTCGATCTGACACTGTCAGACAGGTGGCATTAACAACAACAAATATACACCTTTCTAGTATTTATAACAAAAAGGAAAGAAAGAACTTCAATTATTCTAACATTGATTTCTACTTAAATAAAAATAAATAATGCAGAGAGGTATTTTAGTTTTATCATGGTTTTAAGTACTGCTGAAATAATGTATCACATTTGATGCTATTAATTTCGTGAAAAAACTCTTCAAAAAGTTTAACGTAAGTTCTTTTGAGCAAATAATAGCATTAAATAACTACTGAATTATAAAATATGAATTTCACATGGATCATTTCCCTATATTCATTTAACAACTTCAAAGAAAATTTTAGTTTGAGTCTCGTAACCGCATCTATTTCAATAAAAATTAATTTTTAATAAAACCTCTTTCAAATTACACCAAAAGTGCTTAGCACATTTCCATTTAACTCAAATAATTCCACCGATGCAGCTTATAAGCAAAGCTAGAATTTTAAAAGCTGAGCATTTAATGAGAATAAATAGAGAGAATTGTAAAATATTCGCTTTCGGAAGCGCAGTTTGGCCTAGAGAGAATTAAGAATGATAAAATATTTGACTTACATATTTTCCGAAATCACAATTGTTTTCTCATGTAACTAGCTTGTTCTAGCAAGGAAAATATTGTGCTAAAAGCGCTCTTAAGTACTAAGTGGGTTAATTCAGAAAGTTTTAAAGCTCAATCTGTTTCTCGAGTGGACGGGGAGGACATTGTCTGAAGGGTTATTGTTTCTCTTGGATAGGCTATTATTCATCTCAGCTTCACTTCTTAAAGAATAAAGTTTTATTCCGAAAGAAATTAATTAGGAATCGAAAAATTTACAGTTGACACAATAAAGTAAGATTAATGTAAATTTAATATTGATTTTTTTAAACTTTTGTATATTACTTCTTAATTTTAAAAAACTATTTTTTTGCTTAAAAATTATTCTTTAATTAAATATCAGCTGTGTTGTTTTCCATTAGTCTTTTGAAATCTCTGATTTTTCTCGAAAGAATAATTACTGGTTTGATATACTATAAGCTGTTTGGCCATTTGAATTTTAGTAAATATTTTTGAGTAATGAATTTACGTTTTACTTTAATTATTACTGGTTAATATTGTATTTGACAACAAAGCCGTTCAAAAAAGGTATGTAGCTTAAAAATAATGATAGCACATATAATTATCAAGGCTGGACTATTTAGAGTGTTGCATTATACTCATTTGATAGGGCAAAGCTGAATGAGTGTATATTAACGTCGCCCTATTCAGCTACATGAAGAATTTTGGCGGCGGACCTCGTAATGTTGAACAACGGTTAAGTAATCAGAACGACATCTGAGCTGGCACCTCCTCTCCTAACTTCTACACCACTACAATTGAAGGACGGTTGAGTTTCAACATATTTAACGTACATCAGATTCCTCTGCATGACGGGTCTTCATCGGTACTAAGGTCGAACTCATGACACGCCAGCCACGAGTCCGTTACCTTGACCATTAGGCTGCTGCGGTCACGGGCAAAGCTGAAATTAACGACACAGGATGCATTGCATGTCCATTCCTTCAACAAAACTTCATTTTTTCAATTCCTACTATTAGTTCACTCTTTCCCTATCGTTAATAGATTACTTTTCTACTCATCCATTCAAGTTTAAATAATTTTTTGAAACTTGTAGTGGATGATACCTGGAGTTTATACAGTTTTTTCAAACATTAATTCATTAATTAAATTAAAAAATGAATAAATAGTAACAAACAAAAATAATAATCTAACAGCATATATAGAAAGGAAAATCGTTTGTAGTGTCCCTGTAGCACAATGGTTAGCGCGTTGGACTTCTAATCCAAAAGTCATGGCTTCGAATGCCACCTTGGATTGCCTAATTTCTGAGGATGTGATATTTTTTACTATACTATTTATTTGAATAATTAAATTTACTTAATAAAAAATAGTAACAAAGAAACAAAAATAGTTCAACAACATAAAAAGGAAGAAAAATGGAAAATTGTAAGGAAAATCGCTTTTTGTTTTGTTATTTAATATTGTAATTCTGTCATATTGTATTATATAATTATATTAATTGTAATTATTTAATAAAAAGTAGCTAAAATAAAAAAAAATTTTGTTGGCCTAAGTAGGAATAGACTTAAATCTTGTTTTATATTACTTGTGTGTGTGTGTGTTTTATTTTAAAAAATGAAAATGAAGTCAGTTAAAAAAATTCTTAACTTTTTTTTTGTAAGAAAATAATAATTTGATTTAATAATGATTTGAATAATTGAATAATAATTCGAAACTTTTTTTCAAATTTTTAAAATCAATTATATATATATATATATATATTTCAAATTTTTATTACAAATATATATATTTCAAATTTTTATTACAAATATAACTCTACTACGCTTTGTTAAAAGGGATTTTGAACATACGAATGATTTAAAGGGAGAGTTTTATATTTTTGGTTCTATAAACTGAACACAAAACTTAAAATTAGAAATTATTCATCAGAGAAGTTTCACTAACAAATAAGAATTGCTATATTCATAGATTCATTTTATTGTAGATTTGAAAAAAAAATTGCAATCATTCAGAATATGAATATTTTAATTTATCAAATAAAGTACAATTATAAGATTATAGTATATTTCTGTAAAGAGAATGAACATTATCGCATTTTTATTCCAGCACTTTTTGTGCTTATATCTATTTGAAGTATTTCTTGATTACAAAATATTATAAATTGTCATATGTCATATAAGTACTAATAATTTTATTGAATTCATCAAAAACATAATGAAAATAATCAATCAATTTTGAATGTTTTTTTAATAAATATAAGCAAATCCAATACTCTCTTCCAGAAAGAAATTTAACAGAAAAAAATTGTATCTTGGCTAACTAAACTAACTAGTTACTAAATTTTTTTAAAAAAAGTATTTTTGTTGTAAATTTTAATGTTTATTATAGTTTTTTTGTATTTTAAAAGTACTAATTTACGGATCAAAACATTATTTATCTTTCTAATGAAATTATTTAATTAAATTAAATTCGGAAGCTTATCTTTTATGTGACACGTATCATAATGTGTTTCAGTATTTTCAATATACTGTGAAAAATTTGAAACTATTTGTTAAGTTATTTGAAACTATTTGTGGATATGTCACCACTTCAAAAGTTTCACAATTCATGCTTATTACAAGTTTTAAAAGTATGTATGTTTATCATTAAAACTTTTCTTTTTATATAAAAGTTTATAGTCCTTCTTGTATCACACATGTAGATTATGGTATCATAACATTGCTTTTTCAAATGCAAGTTTTGTTACATATATTTTTGCTGGAAATTCCTTCATATTTGTGTGTATGAATTTTTCCATAAAGCTTTATAAAAACATCAATATTTTAAAATTTTTATGGATAGACATGCACAAACATGCCCAATAAGAAACATTTTATTATATTTATTATTCAAGAAAACTCCAAAATATAAATATTAGTATATTTAGGTAGAAAAAAAAGATAATTGTATTTAAAAGAACGTTAGTTGTGTGCGTGTGTGAAAGATATAAACAAAACTACTAGTCTCTAAATTTCATTTTAAATACATCCACAAAACACCAGTGGATTTAATCACAAAAATAATTAAATGATGAATAAACTTATTCAAGAATTTTCTCTGGATAATATTAAAGGGAAATACTAAAATTAATAAAAAGGGTCTTTATAATAATTAAAACTTCAACTATCTGAATTAAATGTTTTTCCCCACATGTTTTCGGCAACAGAAAAAAACCTTCATTAAATGTTCAACTCAAAATTTCATCCAGCAAATAAATTTGTCCTTGGTTGAATCAACCAAGAACTAATTGGCCTTGTTAGATATAAAGCTTGTTAGATTATTAAAGCTGCTGGTTCCCTACTTTTTGAAATGAGTGAAATCTATATCATTTTTCACTGATGCTTTAATCTTTTTGTTTACTCAACACTTTATGTCTATGTGTGTACATCTCTTTTCTATCATAAAATTTATCCTCTTATTTTTTAGAAAAAAATTTCGCTATTCTCTTTATGAAATTTTATTTTTCTGGCATATTCTTCTAATAAACGACGAAGTGTTTTAAAAAACTTTTCAAGTGACTCTTATGTATAAGGTAACTCCTCTAATATGATATACATGATATAATATCTTATAAGAAAACTTTAGATTTGAAAATTTTTCCTTAAATGAAAGCTGTATGATTTCGAAAAACTTACAATACTATTAATATTTTAAAAACTCCCTCTTTCGAATGTTCTGAAATATTCTTAAAATATTCAGAAACTTATCAAAGTTACCAAATTTTAAATGTTGAACGAAATAAATTTTTTTAAAAAACAATAGTCAAGTGGCAATACTGAGTTAAACAATCTTTATTTTTGATGCCTTTATGTTACGTTTCGGTTGAGCGGAATGTTAAAATAAAACAAAAATTAATAATTCCCTTTCTCTTTAACCGACGTAACATTTCAAACATTAACATTTTCTATACTAAGTTCATATTTCGTTTTCGAGAAGGACCCTTTAAAAAAGAAGGGTATACTTGTGATAAAATAGGACTTGGGGATATTTTAACGGGGAAAAAATGTTCCGGTGGAAACGGGGTGCATTGTAGAACGGCGAACCCTATTGTAGATGTACTTAAATCCCCTTTTAATCGTATAAGCATTGAAAGAGCCTTGGAACCGATAATTCCCTATTTCACTCTTATACAGGGATATGAGTCACCAAACTATAATCACAACAGGGCGCAATATTTTGCAATTAGTTCATTCCCCAGGTGGCAGTGCAATCCTTTTTTCCCATTAGTGTGCACAGAAAAGCAGGTCTACTTCCCCTTCTATAGAAAAGCAGCTAAGCACGTGCACACCTCTTGCTCGGAAGGGAACCATCCAATCAGCGACCGCGTCTTCTGGACCGTGAAACGTCATTTCAAGTGCTGGGATGAGAAGTTCGCATCCTTCTCCTAATAAAGTTGAGGGGGAAAAGAAGATATAAAAGAGTAGGGGAAAAGAAGGATAGGGAAAAAAATGTCGATCGTTTAATTGATTTTTCTCTACATCCATTTTTGCTTTCAGCTTAGGATTTTCCTAGTGCTATTTGCTGAGGGGATATTTTTAGCTTTAATGATTTTATTTCGGTAAAAATGCTCCCAAAAGGGAGAAAAAGTTTTTTCTCCCTATAGAAACCCCTGCACTGATTCGAAAATTGTGGGTTTGTTCCCTTTCGCAAGGATTGGCTTCTTTTTTTTCTATCCTTATTCTAAAGGTATCGAGATATTTCGTCTGCATTCTATATTTTGTTCTTTTTCTTTTCAATTTTTTTACTTTGATTCGTTACGAAATGTGAAGTCATCAAGAAATTCGAGTGAATGTTGGATCACATGGTTGATTAAACAAACGAAGAGCACGCGTCTTCTTATGATATTTGTTTTTTTTTCATTCTTTTTTGTTCGTTACTCGTATTTTTTTCTTAGTTTTTCTTCCCTTAATGATCGTTACATTTGTTTCATAATTTTTCTTTCCTCCTCCTAAATATTTAAGCCTAAGTAAATATTAACCATGATGAGAATTCATTATAATGATTTGTTAAATGTTATTTTATCTTAAACTTTTTTATATATTTTTCATTCACATTGGACAGTTTGTAATGATTATTTTGATGCATATTTTGATAAAAGGCGTATTAAATTATTTTGATACGTATTTTAATATGTAATTATATTACAAGTACGTATTGATAAAAGATTTATGTATACATAATATTCTAGTTATGAAATAAATCGTGTTTATTGGTTTTAATTTATCCGTGAATTCTTCCTTGTACCTTATAATAGTTTACAAAATTTATAAAAGTATTTCAGAGAAATTACATCTTTCTTATTAAAACAGTATGTAAAATGTTTTATACTGTATATACATTTTTGTGTGTGCCTTGGATCAAAATAGTTTCAATCTCATTTTACAGTAAAAATGAATTATTTCTTGCATCTGTGTCGACCGAAAGTCCCATAAAATATTGAGAAGCTTCAGTAAAAATTATTTTGTTTCACATATTTTTTCCTATTCTCATTATGAAATTTTATGTGCATCATGTTAAGAAATTTTTTTGTTTTTATAGTAATTTGAAGGTGTTTTCTTTTCAAATAAGTATTCATATTATAGCTATAATGGGATTATATGAGTATAACTAACGACTGTTGCAGGGCAATAACAGAAAAAAATAGGAATAGCGAGAAGGATAAAAGAAGAATATAAAATTAAATTTCTTAAGATATGTCTTTCTAATCAGAATAACTTAAAGTAAAATTTTGAAAATAGGAAAATAATTACCAATCATTAGTATAACAGCAGTTATCAAAATCTAATTTTTCTTCAGTCAGCAGGGATCTGTTTGTATCAATGGACATTTTAATGACTCTTCAATTTAAATGCATCCAAATACCTCAAAATTTCTTTTTACTCTTAAAAGCAACCTTTTAACTAATTTTTTTTTGAAAACTACAATAATATTTTAAAACTGTATTTTAATTATATAATAAAAAGCTTTAAACGTACATTTTATTTTTATTATTTCACGTATATTTTATTCAAAATTTCTACCATTACAGTTCACACTCTCCCTATAAATATATATCTTGTTCAAATTTTTAATCGTTAATAAAATAATTTTTATTCATCCACTCGAATTCAAATATATTTTTTAAAACTGTAGTGGATGACACTTAATGTTAATACAGTTTTTTTCAAATATTAATTCATTAATTAATGTAATTAATTAATAACTAGTAACAAACAAAAATAACAATCCAACAGCGTATATAGAAAGGAAAAGCACT